GTGACGGGCTACAAGATGTTGCAAGGGGTACACCCTAGAGATTGTTGCTTTCAGAGCCAGTCCAAACCTCTTGCTCATGGCTCTGGCACGGATATGTCATTAGACAATCCCTCTTGTTTCTCTGACAGAGCTCATGAGAAGTGGCCAGCAATCGGCTCTAGACCCTGCTGCCCTTTTCTAACTCTTCAAGGGTCTAGAGGAGACAAGCACCAGTATGTTAGAGCCAGGATGATTGTATCTCCTCAGGGCTCTTCACACCTACCTTAAGCCCAGACTCACCGGTGTAAACCTCTAGCTCTCCTGCCATGCACAGAAGACCACCAGGATAGGAGTGCCGAGACCCGCACGTGGTCCAGGCTCATCTTTTTTTTCTTCCCTTTCCCTTCTCCTGCCCGCTTGCTCTGTCCCTGCTCACTCTGGCCAAGATCATCTTTTATCGTTACCCAGGACATTTCTTGTCACAGCCAGCCAGGTAACTGGCTCTTATGTCTCTAGGTCATCCTCCATCCTAGTCCATTTCCTGTTATACCTTGGTTTCTGTCCCTGATCCCTCAAGACCCTGACTCATATACACTATCCCTACTCACAGCCACTCCCCAAACCTCTTCTGTCCTCATATTCCCAGACGTACCCATGTATCAGTAGCCATCCCTCTGGGAGGCAACTAGCCTCACTTGCCAGAGTCCACTCCCAAACCTGAGAGCCATGCTTCATCCTGCCTGTGAGAATCTCATAGGCTCTCCTCCCTATGTATGAAAGAGGCACAGTGGTCCTGCCTTGGTGAATACAGGAAAAGCTGCAGGCTCTATACTTGCTGTCTATCCATGACACAGGAGTCTCAGCCATAAAGCCCTCTGCAGCCAGGATTCAGCCTAGCTTTAGTCCAAGGAACAATGGTCAGGGTAGGAGGGACTACTGTGTTCTCTTGCCGTTTGTCTCAGCCCAAGCTCATTGGCCCAAGGACAGCCCTTTCTTTTATATCTCTGGGACCGAGCTCAGGGCCACACTCCATCAATGTCCCCTGGCCTTGAGTCCTTGGCTCTGGCAGCATGTGGATTCCTCTGGGAGGCCCTTTAGGGAGTTGGACAATACTGGGTGCATTGGGCTGGTACTTTTATTTGTGGGGAGCACTGCTAGTATTTTAGGTGGCTTTTATAAGGTCTGGGGGTACTGGGATGGCCTAAATAGGCAAGGGGTTGGAAGTGGGGGATAAGAGAGTACATCTCACACACCAAGTCTCTGAGGACATGGAGAACCCAGAAGATGTCATGTGCTTGGGGTCTAGGGAAACTTTTGAGTGCACTAGGCCATGAGATCCTTTGGGTGGTAGCCCATAGCTTTTGACCTCAAGTGGATCGCAGGAGCAGGCATGTTTGGGGGATGGGTGGTAACAGGTATTTATGTGTTCTGTCGAGAAGTTTGAGGCCTCTCATTCAACACTGGGATTGTACTTGGATTATGTCTATAAGATAAGTGAGCTTCAGGCCTGGCCTTGCCTGAGCAGGGGATGACTGTGTTGGTGCTGGAACAATAGCTGGCATCAACCATATGGTCTGTTCTACAAGGGCTAAGCTAGCCCCCACTAACCCTGCTATGGACTAGGGTGTTGTTATCTGAATCAAACCGTCCCCACAGTGTGTCTCCTACAGATTCACACTACAGCTAAATGTTAATCCCTCACTAGAGTCCAAGTGTGACCTTTGGTCTGAGGACTCCCCCTCCTAACTCCAGCATACGTGCAAAGCTGGTGATAACCGTTTTATCTCTGTCTAAACACTGGATCTGGCTATGTCCTGCCTAAGTGTTGTTTTCCTCGGCCCCTTTCCTAGCAGCCCCTGAGCCCTAGTGATTAACTCAGCCCTGCCTGCCTGGGACATAACTAGCCAGATATTTTCAGGGGATGAAGGGGCTCAAGTCTGCTGAATCCAGGCTTCACACTGTGTCCACATGCTGAATAGGATTTGGAGATTTGTGTAAGGGGGTCTTGCTGTTTCGTGTAGCCAATCCCAAAATGGGTTTCCCTCTAAGTACTAGGTCAGGGGCCACCTTTAGCCATCAGAAGCCATTGCTAAGGAGATATTTGAGTAATGACAAACTTCTGCAAATGAGAAAAACTGGATGATCAGCCAGCTGGGTGATGTATGGCCATGGAGTTGGAACAGAAGCCTTCTGCCCGGGCTAGAAACTGTAACTAAATATTGGGCCTTCCCATGGTCAGGCGTGCTGTCTCCCATGAAGTCATATCCTGTGGTGGGGATTGGGAGTATGTTTTCATGTTGGCCAAAGATACACACAGTACTTTGGGCAACAGCCCTACAGGCCCAGGTTCTTTTTTTTTTTTTTTTGAGGACATGGAGATTTTATTTGTCATGTTGATAGTTGTATCTGGATGGCGTGCTCTCCCACAAAATGCCAGGAGGGGCTCCCATCCTCTGCTTCTGATTCGTCCTATGTCCTCTCCAAAGAACCTGAAATTGGAAGAAGGGACAGTTACCAAGGCAGAGTTCCCACCCAGGCCCAGGTTCTTAATAAACAAAGATGAATCAATATCCCTGCAACCCAGCTACTCACAGATCGTTCGTTCATTCATTCATTCATTCATTCATTCGTTAATTCATTCATTCATTCATTCATCATTCATATTCATTCATTCAACAGGCCAATACTGAGCGCTGGCTGGAGTGAACGAGGCTATGGCTCCTCCTTGGTGTGCTCAGCCAAACAGGGCCCATGATTGCCAGCACTCTCTTGCTCTCCCACACATAGCCACACACTCCCATTCCCAGTGAGTTCACTTCATGGGCCAAATGCTTTTCTCACAAGGAAGGAGCTATGATCTCCCAAGCTCACGCCTTCCATCAGTCACTGCTCCTGCCCAAACACAAGCCAGGTGGTGTACTATTTTGCCTTAATTAAAAACATTTATATATGATGGGCAGTATTCAGCCCCCACTCATGGTGGACTCCCCAGCAGTGGACAGGTGGGGGCAGGGCCAGCCAGTGTCACCCGTCAAAGAGGAAGTTCCCTCCAGGGCCAGGCTCCTGAGGGAGTCAGGCAGGGAGCCAGCTGGAAGCGGGCCTGAGCAGCACAATGCTTTGTGGCTTCTCGGGTTTGTGGCTTTGCACAGTCCCCTAACATATGTGGGAGTGGTTTCACCTCCTCACCCCAGGCCTTCCCCAAGGGCCTCTTACCAATGAAGGCTGGCTGGGAGCTGGGAAACAGGTCTGGGACAGGGCTGGAGACCTGGAGGGCCACAATGGGCTGTAGTTCACATGGAATGCATATTTATTTCAAATCCTCCCACTTGCAGTGGGCTATTTACATTTTCATGCCATAGCAGGACTAAGGTCCAGACCTGAGTGAGCTACCCAGGGATGGGGCAAGCAGGAAGGGGTTTCTCACTCAGGACAGCCAGTCTCTGACAATAACCCTGTGGCAAGATTTGGGAGAGAGCTGAGACTGGCAGCAGAGTATGGATACCCCAGACCAGGCCTCCTGACATCACTATTCCGTAGCAAGCCAGCCAATGCCTCACCCTCCAGATACTGTGTGTGTGACAGGTCTTTGGGTGTTTCGTTGAAGAGGCAGATAGTAAAGGCTGAGGAAGGAGAGGCTATTCACCAATCAAAGGCAAAGCCCCAGGCTCACCTTGACTTCTCTTATGGTGATTGCCAGGCCTCCAGTGACTGTCCCTTCAGTTTGTGTCAAGGATGCGTGAACACAAAGCAGTGCAGTTGCTCTCAGCCAGTGCCGTGACAGACTGGGAAGGCCCAAGACTGCTGCTAGCTGAATTATAAATCATGGTCAGAGGCTGAGTCAGGTGACGGAAGCCCTCTGTCTAGCTGTAGTTTTTATTGAGAGAGCTAATGGCTCCAGTTTGTTTTTTAACTTGATTCTCACACCAGTCACCTGCATTTATCTATTTACTTCTATTCATCTACTCAACCAACCATCGGTACACCCACTCATCCATCCATCCGTCCGTCCGTCTGTCCATCCATCCTTCCATCCATCCATCTGTCCATCCGTCCGTCCATCCATCCATCCATCCGTCCGTCCATCCGTCCGTCCGTCCGTCCATCTGTCCGTCCATCCGTCCGTCCGTCCGTCCATCTGTCCGTCCATCCGTCCGTCCGTCCGTCCATCTGTCCGTCCATCCGTCCGTCCGTCCGTCCGTCCATCCATCTATCCACCCACCCATCCACCCACAGCCTCACTCTTCCATGTATCTACCTATTCATCCACTCTTCCATTCATTCATCCATCCATCCACTCATGTACCTATCCATTTGCCTGTCCACTCACCATCTCCCCTTCTATCCATCCACCTTTGTGTCGATCTGTCCATCCACTGCAGTAGCCTGGATGATAGCTTGAGTTTTTCTAGCTTGTAAAGCCCTCCCTTTCAGCATACTCCAACTTCAGAGCATATGTGCGTACATTAGGAGAGGCCTGGTCTGTGTGAACTGACCTAGGAGAGCTGTTTCACACCCGATGCTGCCCGTGCCCTTGTTTGATTCCTTCTACTGCCTCTGGATGGATTGGGAGGATTTTTGTACCCAGACCTCAGTAAAGACCACAGATGGTGAGTGTGGTGTCTCCAGTGTGAGGTAGAGCCATGAGCTACGAGCTAAGGAGGACAGTCCTCCAAAGACACATGTCCTTGAACCCTTGCTTTCAGATGTAGAGCTTGAGCTCTGTGGATTCCATGAAGCTGGACAACACAGATGTCAGCGCTGTCTTGACAGACCCAGTCATTGTACCCCAACCATGGTGTGGAGTCTTCCCCAGCGAATAACAGCTGACCAGTGTCTACCCTTAGTGGCCCTGGGCCCAGTGTGTTGACCTCCCCAGACAGGTGTTATAATCATAGGCACTACTTGTTATCACAGATGGTACTTGTTACCTCAGCAGAGGCTCCTGGCATGGTAGCCTGGTGTAAGTGCTCCAGCCTGAGTGGTGGTAGCCTCTGATACAAGCTTATTGCCTTCTTTCTCAGGAGATTGTCCTTGTGGTGTTCTTTGGGACAGAGTATGTGGTCCGCCTCTGGTCTGCAGGGTGCCGAAGCAAGTATGTGGGCATCTGGGGCCGGCTACGCTTTGCCCGGAAGCCCATTTCCATCATTGGTGAGTCCTGCCTACCCATCTTGCAGACACCCCACTCCACACTCATGGGTCCCCATTACAGACATCCCCAGAGAGTCCCCATGGACTGAGACCCCCTAGATTTTTCCCGTGCCCTTGGTTATTGGGTCCCATCTTGCTTTAGTGGCACAACCCTCAGGTGTGGGTGGTGGCACACCCTCCCTAGATTCCTGATGCCAGAAGTAATGACCCCCTGCCCCTCCCACAGACCTTATCGTGGTTGTAGCCTCTATGGTTGTCCTCTGTGTGGGATCCAAAGGACAAGTGTTTGCCACATCAGCTATCAGGTATGTTGACTCTTCCATTTCTTCCTGTGAGACAGGAATCACCACAAAGCCCTCTCCTCCTAAGCTATAGTCTCTCCTTCACTCTACCTGTCTCCTTCACCATGGGTGGAGCAGGATTAGGGTATCCATAGTTCATAATATTGAGACAGTAGGCAACCCTGGGTTCAAGGTTTGACACCAGCACTTCCTAGCTTCTAAGACTTAGGCCTAACTGTGTGATTGCCGTGTGAGTGACCCTGGGCCTCCCCAAAGAAGGTCATATAGAAGGGTTCACAGGCACCTGTAGGAAGCAAGATGGTTCCAATACAAAGTGTCATGTGTGTGTCTCTCCTCTACCCATTGGAGGCTCGGTGGGACAGGAACATAGGAAGCAAATGTTTGTGACCACCATGGCCCTCTCAACCCCTCTCTTCTTGCTTCTTAGGGGTATCCGCTTCCTTCAGATCTTGCGGATGCTGCATGTTGATCGCCAGGGGGGAACCTGGAGGCTCCTGGGCTCTGTAGTCTTCATTCACCGCCAGGTGAGTAAGCCTGGTATGGGCAGAACAGAAGCTGGCCAGCCTATAGCAGGAGGGCTAGAGATTTACGAGGTCAGGATACAAAGGTGGTGATATCTTAGCACCTGGACCCCAGCTGAGTGGGCCAGGTCTAAGCAGGTATCAAGACATATGGGTCTGAGGACAGGGTCTAGGACCCCAGAGCCTTCCCAGCCTGAACCTACTCCACATCCACGATGCTAGAATACTTGACTTGTCAACAGTGTAGAGCTGCTTTTACCTTCACTTCGGCTTGGGACAAAAGACCACTGGGTCTTTTAGAAAATGTAAGATGAATAACTAATTTATGAAGCTCTGAAATCAAACCTAGGAAATCAAGGATGGTGCCTCAGACACCTTCCAGGGAACTCATTGTCTGAGAGGCTGCTGGGGACAGCTGACTTTAAGTACAATCTTGTCATGGGTACAAGGGAGACTGCATAGACCCAAGTGGCTGATTCAGGGTGATAGCTGAGACTTCTTCATTGCCACTTTCAAGAATTGCAAAAACTTGCAATTAGAGTAACTAGGTTACTCTGTAAGGTTATTTCTACGTGTATAGCATGCTACAGTCAACACAGTACGATCAAGCAGCAAATTCTGGAACTTTCTACCAAAAGACTCCTCTCACCAGACTCATGTGGATCACAGAGTATGTGACCATGGCTGATATGTTGTCTGTCCCTAGGAGCTGATCACCACCCTATACATTGGCTTTCTGGGTCTTATCTTCTCCTCCTACTTTGTCTACCTGGCTGAGAAAGATGCAGTGAACGAGTCCGGCCGCATTGAGTTTGGCAGCTACGCAGATGCTCTGTGGTGGGGGGTGGTAAGTTGGAGTCTTTACCAGGGGTCTCAGGTGGGAGATACATGGACCTGGGCAGTGGGGTTAGGCTATTGAACTCTACTTTCTCAAAATTTTGCCTTCTCCACTGAGGCTACTAACCCCAGTTTTAAAAACTTTTGAACCATAAAGTGTGCACTTAAAGCTTACAGAATGGGCCCCCACATTATACCACAGTGAGTGCTCTCTGCTCCCTCTTGAAATTTGAACATTGTTATCTTTCAACTTCTGTTTTAGAAGGGAAGGCTGACGGGACAAGGGATTGCAAACTGGGACTTCGTATCCCAACCTTGTAGTGATCTTTACCCTGGAGGGATTTGGGGCTTAGAGTGCAGGAAGGGGTCAAATGCATACTTTGCATGTTTGTCTATGTTGACCCAGGGAGCACACCTGTGCCAGGGATCAAGACATGCAATAATGCCATAATACCATTACAACCCTTGTGAGCTAAGAGATGTAGAGGCTTTTGGATATGAGGTCTGCAAAGGCTTTTGCTGCCCCAGGCAGCAGTAGTGCAAGTGCCAGCCAGGCCCTAAGGTCGTGACGATAGTCATGAACCTCCTGGGTTAGGGCAACTCCAAACCCGTTGAGCTTCCAGTCTGTGTGGAGCCTGGTGTATGGCAATGACCTCTCATGCTTGGGCTGAATGTCACAAGTTATGGTGATATTGTGTGTAGGCCTGTGGTGTGTGTGTGGGGTGGGGGGGATGTGACTCCTCATGAATCAGCTAACAGGCAGAGGAGGGAGAGGCTATGGTGAGAATGGTGCTGAAGAAATTCAGGTATATCCATGACCTAAAAACCATTGCTCATGGTCTAAAAGCCTCTGGGGTAGCTGCTTCATGTCCTTCATGGCCTCCCCTGGAAGCAGGTTTTGTCTAGCCACTGAGCTTTGGGGCCCCATAAACTGCAGTAAATACAAGGACCTAACAGGAGAATACAGTTCAGAGCTCGTACGGTCCACCCCTGATTCCAACTCTAGCTCCTCCCCTCAGCTTCAAGGGCAATAGACTGTCTAATGTTTACACCATCATACCAGGAGGAGCTGCCAGGGCTGGCACCCCTGGGTGGGCACAAGGATTTTAATACCATCCCAAATATCATTTTCAGTCTGTTGACTTTGGGGATCACTAGGCTAATGAGAAGGTTGGGTGGGCTATGGCAGCCTATAGAAAGGGACAGCACAGACTCTGGGAACTTGATTCAGAGCAAGCAACCATCCATGATGCTGGTGGCTGTGTCAGGCTCTGGCCTGAATACTCCCCCACCGCTAAATACCCTAACCAGGAATGAACAGTCTCTTAGGCCAGCTTACTCCAGAGCTTCTAGACTGGGGTTGAGACTGGAAGCTGAATAAACACATGTTCCCGCAATTCCTGAGTGCCCCCAGGAAGCAGGGCACGCTGCAAGAGCTTGTGACATCGGCCGAATCAGTCTGTTTTCTGGAAGTTTCCATCATTCTAAACAGCCCAGGGAAGTAAGGATACACTGAGAAGCTTCCAGATTTGAACAGGCCCCTAGATTCAGCCACTGCCCACTCACTCTTCTTGGGATCAATGTCCCCAGATACCCTAGCATGATAGAACCAAACAGGATTGGTAGGAAAACTCAGTGGGGAAGTTAGGGAGCTTGCCTGTGGAAAGAGGACACATCGCAGGGATGTAGGAGGGCCTGCATGGGGGGCAGGCTACTCTAAGCCAGAATTCTCTGGTGGGAGATGGGCAACGCTGGCTGAGGTACGGCAGGAAGTGATTGGGTGACTACCCACAGTGTGCCTGATAAGTGATGCCCAGCCTTAGCAGTGCCCAGCCTTGACGCTGCCCTGCCTACGTTCCCAGTCTCCTGCAGGAGCTGTTTCCCAGCCCCCCCCCCAACCCCTGGCCCCCCAGCCCTCAGCAGAAAGGCGCCCCCACTCCCACACCTGTGCAAACATCCGCCCGCCGGCTGGGAACACGGCCCCTTTGTGCCCAGCTTGGCACCGGTGCTCTGGCCTACTCTTGTCAGCTGCAACCCAGGCCTCGGCCACAGCGCACCCTAGCCTGGCCATTGTTCCCTGGGAGGCCCTGTGCCCTTGGCTGCCCATGGGCCCCCCAGTACCCCCATTCATTCAGTGGCTGTCTCTGCAGCTGTCTAGTGGGAACAGCCCAAGACTGTGTTCCTGGCACCTCTAGGGTAATCAGAACTTGAGTGCTGTAGGATAGGGCAGCCAGGCTCATAGTTCTGTAGCCCTGAGCCAATGAACAGTCATCTCTTTTGTCTCTCTCATTCCACAAGGGAAATATTCCACCGACCCTGCCCCTGGGCTCCTCATCTGTTTTATGTGGGGGTTATGTGCACATTCTCAAGTGAGAGCATTTTCTGAACACCAGACCACTCTTCTGTCTGCTGTCCCTGCCCCAGACCAGGCCTCAAGCCCTGTCTCCTATCCCAAAGAATGTTAGCTGGACCCTGAGAGCTGGACTAGCTTCCCCTAAGGTACACTGAGGTAGGCATTGGGCAGAGAGGCATACCTGCACAGGTAAGAATGTTTCTCACACTGTTAGCTTGCAGAGGCTTCAAAGAAACTGAGGTCCTCCCCTGGCCAGAGCTTATTCACCGAGCGAGTAAGCCAGATTGTGGGGAGGGGCAGGAAAGCCTGTCTACTACCAATAGGTGGATTCAGTATGTTCTGCTCTGCTCTGAACACCAGAGTACTGAAGCCGAGGGATGGGTAGGGCCACGCTCACTTGGTAGGCTCTGGGAAGGGCCTTTTATTATTAAGTCTGGTTTCTGGTAGCTCTAGGATCCTGTGTTGCTCCTATGTTTCACATGGGCACACAGCATCAGATTAGGGTCCACCCAGGAGACTCAGAAGGAAGCCTGTAATTTTGAATAAAACCATAGTCTGGGTTGGGGTTGGGTAAACCATGTGGGGGACACAGATAAGTCCAGAATGTAGGTATCCAGGCGGCATTTTGTGGGGTGGCCCTGTCTTCATAGACTGCGAGTTCTTACAGCTGGAAAGCAAACTATAGACTGCATCCCCTTCCTCCAGAGGGAATACCCACATGGGTGTAAGATCCCTGGAACCCAGAACCCCCTAATATAATGTCCAAGTGTGGGTGTGAAGCATTTGAGGAGCCCCTCAAACTTTCCTTTACACTTGAAACAGAACGCATTTGTTTGTATTAAGGTTTGAGTGCAGGAAAACGGCATTTCTGCAAACACGGGCTCCTCTGTTTAATGCCTGGGGGTCTCTGAAAACAGGCGGCTGCCGGCTCTGTTTATCCTGAGTGGCTAAATACAGAACTTCAAGTGAGCAGGCTGGAACCCCACCCTGTATTTCAGTCCTTTAAAAAACCCAGTCTGACGGCTCTTCATTCCTCACCTGGAGGCTCTGGAAAGTTCCCACCTCCCAGGCTGGACTGCATCCTGCAGAGCCAGGCCAGAAGGGCCTTAGAGTTGGGAGGTCTCTTAGTCACATGCAAGCTCTGTGGAACTGTCTATGGGAGGCATTATTCTTCAGGATCGATCTGACTATGGAGAAGTGAAGGCCAGAGCAGGGTCCAGGGCTGGTAGCACTAAACCCTTTGCTCTTCTGTGTAGGTTCTATGTGGATTAAGCAGCAAAGACTGAATGAAGGTCTGCCAGGCTCCTTCCAAGAAAGCTCTTCCCAAGGAGGAGTCTTTATAGTTGGGCCTTATAGGATAACGAGGAGTCTCTATGAAACATGTCCATCTTTTTGTACCTGCTATTCAGTAACCAGTGCCTAGATTTATTATACAGACTCAGCAGGTTAGGTGATGGTGATACACAGATTGAACTCATGCCATTGAGGAGTTGCCTGTGCAAGTCTCAAGAATAGAGCTTCCCAGAGTGCCTTTCACCTGGAGGAAGCAGACAGCATCAGGAAGTATGAAACGTGTGGTAGGAGGTTGACATGCTGTGAGGCCAACATAGAGACCAAGCTGGACTCACCTCCCACGTCCACCAGGCATCAGCTATGGAGTCCTGGGCATGTCAAGTAGCTTCTTTGGGCACATCTAGTTAACCAATATAGATGAGTTAAGTCAGTGAGCATGCAGAAGGTGAGCTCCAGGAATGGTTGTGGTTCTCAGCTAGGCCACCTTTAGATTCAAAAGGAGGAGACTAAGTATCACTAGTTCTGAAAATCCTTCCCAATCTCTTATTCCTTGATATGGGGCCCTGTTCAAGGAGGATGAGGGGGGCCCACAAGCCATACAAAGCCTGTCGGACAGGTTCTGTCACTGGGACAGCAATCTATGAACTCAAGTGTGTATGGCTCAGGTGACCTATTATTGGTTGGGTCCTTGAAAGGTCCCTCTATTCATTGGCACAAGAGACTTGCAGATCTGGCCACTGGGGACACATTCCAAACAGCTCTATAAAGTGATCCATTCCCGAGTTGCTGAGTCTGTGACTTGGGGGAAAAGCAATTTGACAGGGACAGGCCACCTGGGAGAGAGGACTCATGAACTAGATTAGGAACTCTGTGGTGACCCAGGAGAAATAAGAGGGTCCTAGTAGTTAGGTGCCCTCCAACAGAGGGCTGGCCAGTACTCAGGACCACTGCACTGGGCCCTTCCTCCTTTTGATGCAAGGTGTGCAGGGTTAGCTAAGCCTTTAGGGAAAAGCATAGCCTCAGGTATTTTTTTTCCTACATAAGGAGTTTCCTCTCTATTCACCCATGTTTCTTCCCAGCTTGCCATCTAGGCCATTCTCCCTCCAACTTTGTAGATGTTGTTCTTCCTTCCTTCTTTCCCTTTTCCCTTCCTTCTTCCCTCCCTCCTTCTCTCCTTCCAACCTTCCTCCCTCCTCTCCACCCCCCACCACCATTTTTGGACTGGGTTTCATATAGCCAAGGCTAGCCTCACATAAGCCATATATCCCAGATGATCTTGAACTCTTGGTGTCTCCAACCCCAGTCTACTTTCACGAGTAGCTCCTGTCATGTGCCTGGCTCCCTAGAGAAGGCAGCTGTGGGCCAGCTCTCACATGTGGGGTGCATGCCCTCTGGGAAGACACCACTAGTAAGGAGCTTCAGCTCCCTTGAGCCCTCTCATCCAGCAGCTGGCTGGCAGCCATGCCCTCAGTCCCTGGAGCTGCTTGTCTTCAACTTACATTATATGAGTGGTTTCAGGTGTGTGTGCATATAAGATATCTGGACAGCATGTGCCCTGGCTGTCAGTCATGGGTATAACCTCTAGACCCCTTTGTGAACTTATGCAGTGTGTACGCGCACCCTCATAATGCCTCAGCTCAGTCAGTGGTGCATGTTTCCTCGTGTGCATATGAGTGTGAACGGGTATCCTTGTCTCCATGTGAGGCATGTTTACAACTAACTATATGCCCACATATGTAGAACAGGGTGGTCCCTTTAAAGGGCCCAGCTATGAATGGTTTGCTATGTCCTCTGTTTGTGTAGGGCATGGATTTGTTTAAGGATAATGACATTGTGGGGAAGATTTCATGTGGGCAATTGTGAGAAAACACAAGGATGCAGCCTCTATAGCATGGTGCAGCACTGAAGGGTGGCCCAGTGGTGGCCTGGGCCCAGCTGTGGCCTGCTCTGTTGTTTGCCATCCAGGAAAAATTGACCTGTTGCTCCATGACCTGTTAACATACTGGCCAGAGCAACAAACTTGGCACTGTGGGGTTACTCTTGCTGTCCTTGTCCTCTGTTCCCCTGCTGAAGTTGGTCAGAGTGCTTGCCTGTGCTGTGATCACCTATCTCTATGCCTATTCATATGTACATATTAACTTCTGACTCCCAGGGTTCTCTTGCCTTCCCCTCCTCTTTAGTGGCCACTGGGGAAAAGTTGTGGTCCACAGCAGCAGTCCATCTGGGAATGGAGTGGGTAGTGATGCCTGTGGGCTGGAGGTGGTGTGGGGATCATAAGCTTCCTCTCTGGGCCTCACTTCAGTTGGAGTCTATTAGATGGTGTTCCCCCAGATCCCATCCTTGTTGACCCTGTTGGGCAGAGGTTCACTTAAAGGTTCTCATGTAGATCTTAGCTGGGTGGTTGTCATCTGGCCCCCAGGGGGTGACAGCTGAGGTATCTAGAGTGATCAGGCTATAAAGACCTTGAATGGACAGGGTCTCCCTTCACACGGATCTGCCTTCACTGAAGGCCTGATCGGGACAGTGTGTTGTGACCCTGAGGACTGCATGTTGGTGAATGTAACCACTCTGTTCTCACAGCAGGCCCTAGGCAGCCTCATGGTGTGACCTAGCAGTTAGGCATAGCCAGGGTAGGGCCTCCCAGTCCCTCATCAGAGGCCCCAGGAGCAGATCTCAGATGTCAGCAGGGGGTGGCTGGGGGGCAGCCCCTCACTTTTGTTGTCCCACTGCACACCCTGGACACTGCTCTCCCACCAAGAAGAAGGCTAGAGCCCTGTCTTATTCTCTCTGAAAAGGAAAAATAAAACATCTGGATCCCTGGGCTGGTGGCAGGAAGCAGCATGTCAGCCCCATCCTGGGGCTTTGTGGACGCTGGCCTCAGTGGGAGCTTCCGGCCTCCTGGGGGCCAGTGCACTGCAACTTTGGTGGCCAGGAGAGGGATTCTTGTAATGGGGCAGGAAGTCTGGCTCCTGTGGGTGGGCTCTGAGCTCTTTGCCTGTCCTGCACACCCCAATCTCTCTGTAACCCTAGGGCTGTGTCATCTGTAGTAATCAGAGTTGAGGGACTTAGGAGACTCAGAAACTTAAAACCAACTCACCATATTGCTGTCCCTGGTACTTTCTGAGAACTGTGCCTCACTCTCCTGGTGGGCAGGGTTTTAAGTTGGTCTCTCTGGTCATCAAGCCACCGTGTTGAGGCTGGCAGGTGTCCTGTCTGAGGCTCTCAGCCTGCCAGCCACTGACTGCAGTTCTTCTTCCTTGCAGGTCACAGTCACCACCATTGGCTATGGGGATAAGGTACCCCAGACATGGGTTGGGAAGACCATCGCCTCCTGTTTCTCTGTTTTCGCCATATCCTTCTTTGCACTCCCAGCGGTGGGTACCTATTAATACTTTCTCCTTTGTTTCCCACTCACCCTTGCCCCACCTCCTAGGCATTCCTTGAAGTAGAGTAAGGAGGCATTGTTATGGCACTTCACAGAAGTGGCAGGATACAGGAGACCAGACCAGGCAGAACCTGCAGGTCTGCTCTGCAGCCAGGAGTGGCCCTGTCTTGTGACCTTTCCAAAAATCATAAACCTATGTCTACACATATGTGCTATCTGGGACACACACAGGTGTCATCATAGGTGTGTTTTATACATGTTGTGTTTATATACTGTATTACATGTGTTACATGTACAAGTATCTGTATTACATTTGAATAGTGTGCTGTTTATGTGTATATGTATGTGTGTGTGTTTGTGATTTTGTGTGTCATGTATATACCTGTATTTGCACATGTGTTCCGTGTCCATATAGTGTCTATATTTCACATGGGAGTCTCTGTAACACATGGGAGATGATGTGTATTTGAGTGTCTGTTACATGAGCATGTGTGACACATGGATATGGGTCATGACACACAATGTGTGTCCCCTGCATGGCCCCCAGCTACTGAGACAGTACTCCATCTCTGCCACTGCTTCCTCTGGCCACTCTGGCTACAGTAGCTGTGGGCTTCTTGCTAAGGACAGTCTCAAACTCCCACTCCCCTAGGGTTATGGTCCCTCTCCCCCAGGGGCACAAGCTGATGGCTAAATTACCTGGCTTCTCACAGGTGGTGCCAAAAAATGTGTAGAGAGTCCTCAGGTTTCTTCTAGAGCCAAGCTTCCTGTTGAATCAGCCCTGAAAAATGAATTCTGCTTCCCCAGCTGGCAAGGGCAGGCAGGCTGAGCCTAGAGACTACCCGCATGTGGCATCTGCTGTCTCAAACCCACCTTCTGGTAGTGCCTGCCTGACCACAGCCCTGGGCACTGTGCAAACCTGGTCTCCAGATGTGTTTGCTTCTTGCTCTTCCGTGGGACCCTTGTCCTCTGCTGGGCACTGGCCAGCATGGCTTGTGTAACAATGGGCACCTTCTGTCCCTTACCAGGGGATTCTTGGCTCTGGGTTTGCACTGAAGGTCCAGCAGAAGCAGAGGCAGAAGCACTTCAACCGGCAGATCCCAGCTGCAGCCTCACTCATCCAGGTATGTGCTATGCCTGGCGGGCTGTCAGTGCTATGTACTTACATCTGTCCAGGCGTTGGCATCACTCCCAGCCATGTCCACTGCTTGAGAGCCATGGATCCTTTTGCTGTGACTCCTCCCGTGGTAAGGTAGCTCTCTGGGAAAGTACTCACTATTAAGATGATAGGGTGGGCACAGGAATGCAGGACCACTATTCCTCATACTGTTCCCATTGAAAGCCATACTTGCAGACTAGGGCGAGGCCTGACCATGGCCACTTAGTCAGTCTATACTCTGCTGGTCAGCCTCAGTTTCCTGAATTCTCTGATCTGGGCAGAACCCTGGGTAAGGGGCAGCCCTTCTCAAAGGTTGTAGCTCTAGTGGTCTTATCTAAGCTTCTAGCACAGTCCTGGGCCCCAACTTGTTCCTCTGATGCCCTTCCAGAACTATCTGCCTGGTCATGATAGCAGCAACCATGAGGCCTGCAGTCGCAGTTGTGTGCTTTCCCAGGCCTGACTTGACCCCACGGCTTCTCATTTTGGGAAAACCTTAAATCAGACCCACTAACCCGCCTTGGCCACATTAACATACCCAAGCAGTTATTTAGTTCCTCAACTGAGCATAGAGGCCACTGCTCAGGAACCACATGGTCTGTGGACAGGACTCCTTCAGAGGCCATGCCCACATGGAAGATGTGCCAGGGCTCATACCGGTGTGAGTTGGAAACATAGACAACATGGGGTATGCTAGCAGGAGCTGCAGGCTGCATGAGGTATTGAGCTGCCCAGATAGGGTATACGTGAGACATAAAGCCCTTGGAAGGGTCTCCAAACGGTCCAAACAGGTCATAGGCATCCCTGCTTGGATTTTGTGTCTATGCTAGGTTGTCATAGCATAGGGCTGTCACTCAGAAGCCTTGCCAGGAGAAAGAACTTTCAACTAGTTTTATGTTCTCATGCCCATAGGGCCTATAGTGACAAAGCCACCATGATATGTCCCCATAAGAGGCTTTGGTATCTGTTCCTTCCCCCTTCTTGCTCACCTGGCTCCTTCAGGCCCCTCCAGTGTCTTCCCCAGGTCATCTTTCTATGATGACTAAGGGGAGGGGGTTTCCCTCCTGAACATTGCCCAAGAGTTTCATCTGTAGTCATCAGAGACTCCTCATGCCACAGGCTAGCACCTGAAATCCTGGGAGGCCTCACCACCCACTGGGCCCTGGGGCTCTACTCCTCCACACCCTTCTGGGACTCACAAAGGCTTGGCCAGCCCCTTTCCACACTTTCTTTCTCTGAGTAAAATCTGGTTTTCTAACTCTGCCTTAGTTGAGCACCTCTGTATGTCTGGGGCTTGCTCAAGACCCTCTTTAGCAGTGGCTCAAGTAATAGATAGTTAATGCATGAGACAGTCTCTTTCCTAGCCCTAGAGGGCTGAGCCTTGCTGTCAGGGAATGAGCCATGGAACAATCTGGGCCCGGGGCTCAGGAAGAGTTGAAGATTCTTTGAGAGGTACCACTGAGTGGCTGGACCAATGACCCCTCTCTCCATTTCCCTCTGCCTGATTTCAGACTGCATGGAGGTGCTATGCTGCTGAGAATCCTGACTCATCCACATGGAAGATCTATGTCCGGAAGCCTGCTCGGAGTCACACTCTGCTGTCCCCCAGCCCCAAGCCTAAAAAGTCTGTGATGGTAAGCAGCCTCACTGGCTACCAGGATGGGTACTGCATATTAGTAGGTCAGGAAGATGTAGAGGTGGCGTATGAGGCTCTGGCATTGCCGCTCAGTGTGGTGCTCATTAGGGTGTCAACGTTGTTCTGAGGTCAGAGGAGGTCTCCTCCATGCCTGATCCCTGTTGATCTCATTTCCTTCATCCTTGGAGCCATAATGAACTGCAAAGACCAGGATACAATAGGTCTTCTCGAAATGAGAGTGCTTCTGGAACAGGAGCTGCCAGCTCCATAAGCTGTTGGAAGGAAGGTCTTGAGTGGATCCTGGTGCTGGGCATTCCTTACTAGGTAAAGCAGACAGAACAGGAAGGTATTGGAGCTCTAGCTCACAGAGAGTCAAGTTCCAGCAGCAGTGGACAAGAGTCCTGCCATTTGCCTGGAGCAGTGAGGAAAAGGTTAGGGCTCTTCCCTTTTCTGCCTGCCCCTCCCTCCTTGAAAAGACAACCTTGCCAGCATCCAACTGTCATTGGACACTTGAACTTGCTCTTCCCTCTCTGTGGCTTCACACAACCTGCTCCCCCACTTTCTCTGAGGCACCTCTTTAAAGAGGCTCCAGTGCCTTTTTGCTGCCTTAGCCTTCAGCCCTACTGTCCTGGTGCAAGCTTGCATATTTACAGTCGGCTGGGTTTTTGTTTGTTTGTTTTTGTTTGCCTGCCTTTCTTAGGCTGTAGCTTATAGAGGGCCACACTGGGCCAAGCAACACTCTGAACCATGCAGCAGCACCAGCTCACTGAAGCCCCATTTCACCAGTGTTTGCAGGTACTGGAGCTCAACCCCCTGACCTAAGTTCCCTCAGGGTACACATTTCAAGCCTGGGCTCAGGACTCCACCGGTCTGGGGTTGGTTAAAGATCGGGCAGACAGTGCTCAGGAACTGCCACTCCTCATGTGGACTTTTTAGGTAAAGAAGAAGAAGTTCAAGCTGGATAAGGATAACGGGATGAGTCCGGGAGAGAAGATGTTCAATGTCCCTCACATCACTTATGATCCCCCAGAGGATCGGAGGCCAGACCATTTCTCTATTGATGGCTATGACAGCTCAGGTAAGCAAGATCCCACGTGTGCAGGGCCAGGACACTTGGGACTGAGCCTGCAGCAGGGTCAATCCATCCCTAGTTCTTCCCTGGCACTCTGTCCATAAGGTCCCATAGCACATATACAGTCACTTGCCTACATTGGAAGCCCAAGCACGGCTTGAGGTCTCTGCTACTAGAGGATGGAAGGTAGAGTAGATCTAGAAGCTTCTGGAGGCTTTGAAGCCATGCTCCACTAGCCTTTCCAAGATGGTAATCACTATGCAGTCTGTTGAGAAGATGCCTACCACTGGCTTAGAATGTTGAGGAGTCAGCATGGCCCGACCTGGCCACAAGAGGGAAGGTGACATATGTGTTCTATTCACTGGGCTTCTCTTTTTGGCACCCAAAGTCTTTGTTTGAAAAATGGCTAAAGTGACCTCTTGGAGGTTTGCCCACTGATGTGGAAGCCCAGAGGTGAGGGTGGTAAAGATGAAGCGCCTGCAGGCCCTGGAGGGCCAGTGGCTAGCTGGTGAAATCATGAGGGCATTTTGCAGGGGTCAGTGTCTTGATGGACACATTTCTTATACAGCCCTGGGTTTGTATCTAGTATCACCATCCTATATCCCTATATTCTTCCTTCTATGGGTCCTGGATGAGGCCAGGCTCATGGGACCTGGTGATATAAAACTGTGAAAGATTTGCATGCCTGAGCCCTAGTTAGTTTTGTCTCTGTAAGGCCATAGTAAGGCTCTGTGATAAGGGAATTCAGAGAGGTCAAACATATTTTCCAGGCCATGCAATGGGAATATGGCATGCTCTAGAAGTGATTCTGGGTCACCAGTTACACACCAGATAGGCTAAGGGCACTCTTTTCATATCCTTCCTCCAGACTGGAAGGGGACCACAGCAGGAGTAAAGGGTTTCCTTACCAGAGAGACTTCTCAGGAGGTACATGTGCTGTTTCCATTACTATGACATACTGTCAAGCATCATCCTAGGAGACGGGGCTTTGTGGGTCTGGGATTCTCACACTCCTGGTCCCAGATGTGGAGTGTACAGTCTGAGTTTATAGCATAACCCTTGGGAGACAGCCCCTGTAGCTCTCACATCTCTCTGAAAACTTCAGTGCCCACCTTAGGGTGAATGACTCTAGCAGCTGCCTATAACTCTAATTTGAACAGTTCTGGTCTTTCCCTTCCTCTGAAAAGTGTGGGTATCAAGATAGTGAGCTAGATAGTGAGGTAGGCCTGGGATGTGGCTCATGTCACCACATGCTTTTTGCTCAGCATCTCCTGGGAAGTCCTTTACACTGTCTTGCTAGCTGTTTCCTCTCAAGACTGTATGTTGAGGCAAATAGTCCAGACATCCAGTGTCCACAGGTTCTTCATCCTCTGACTCAATCTGTTACAGACTATTACATGGAAGTTTCTCTTCTAAAGAATCTGGAGATGCCATGAAGATGTACAAGAAGGTTTTATGCAAATGCTATGCCATTTTATCTAAGGGACCAGAGTATGAATTGGGGGAGTCCAGGACCACCCCTCCAAAGGCAGGGAGGAGAGGCCTCACACATATTTCTAAAGACCCTGCCCAAGATGCAGTCCTGGGTGGCAGAGACACCTGATTGAAAGCATAAAAGAATGATAGTTGGACCTCGGTACTTGAGGTCAGGGAGATCCTTTTCCAGATGGAGAGGTCAAAGGTACCAGTATTTAGCTCATTCCCCCACACCCACCCCACCCTGATTGCACCAGCAATGATAGGCAACCCAGGGCCTAATGCTGGCTCCTGTGGTCCTGGTTTCTGGCATCAGAGTCTTGCTTCTCATTTAGAACTGTTTTGCTTACCTTCAAGAGTCTCAGGTTCCATGAGAAGGCTTCATTTGAGTGTCTTGTTGGGGACTGGACATCTCACTTCCATATTTGGGCCACCAAGAGTCATGCCTAGCCTCATGTGCCATGTGGCCAGTTCTTGTGCTTGGCAGGAAGGAGGCACTGATGTTGGATGCTTGGTAGAGTAGGAACTAAGGGTCGAGACCAACAATGTATGTGCAATAGTATCTCCTGAGTTGACACTCTGTCCCTCCACTCTGCTGTCATTTAGGTGTGTCTCTCCCTTCTTAGAATTCTTCCCAATGCCTGGGACCTGCCAGAATGTTTTGTGACTAAGTAGAATGTTCTAGGATCCTCCAGAAACTACCAGCTCATTGGAAGTTGTAAGGACAGTTTCAGGTATAACAGAGGGTGACCAACAATATTGTTCCTCATCTTTCTTCTGACAAGTGTCAGAGCCTCAGCCTACCAAGTTCAGCTTGTCCAAGGGCAGCTGATCGGTATCCTGCGTAATTGTTCCTGCCACCACATCTTGGCAGGAGGGTGGGAAGTGTTCAAGAAAGGGGCCATGGCTGTTCTATGCTCTTGAAGGCTATCCTAGGCATCCCGTCTGTCAGGACCCAGCCTGGGCCCCACTTTACTGAGCGCCAAGCTGCTGCGTCCTCATCAGATGGCATGGGGATTTGGCTCGGGGCTGGCCACATCTCCATGAGCCCCTGGGACATACTCCCGCCTGCCCAGTGGAGCGGGCACAAAGGGCAATTGTGCCAACAAATGCCCAGTGCCCCTGCAGCTCTGCTTCAGGGGTAGGACCATTGTCTCAATGCAAATAGGGGCTTTCTGCTAATGCTAATGGGCAGGTTGGGCGTGAGCAGAGGCGGCAGGGATGCAGCCCTGTGCCTGCCCAGGAGAAGCATCACTCGATGTTTTCTGAATACGGGGCAGCAGTGTCCCTGCCGTCCATTCAGCCTGCTTAGTGTTATGAAGTCCGCAGTGATGTCTGTGGCATGTTAATGAGGTGCACGAGCAGAGAAAGCAGCACTGCTTGTGGAATGCTCCCACATCGTGCCGTCTCTTTCTGTTAATGAGATAAGTCAGCCTAGTCCAGAGCCACCAGATTTTAGAGATTGAGCCACTGGTCTGGCCCCTCTAAGGACCTGGGGCAACCTCTACTCCACAAGTTACCTGATACACCCAAATCTACTTACCCAAGAGACTCTTGGGAATCTTGAGCACTCTGGCATAGAGATGAGGTGCTAATCCCAGGCGGGGAGGGAGGGATGCTATCACTGGGAAAGCCCCAGAGTGCCTGCTCCCACGAGGCAGATCCCAAGCAGTCACACTGACTTCTAGTGCCAGGCCAAACCAGGACTTGGACCTCATCTGTGTGTGAGAACTAGGGAGCCATCATGTTGTCCTTGCAGGGGACACTCACCTGTTCATGGTGTGCAAAAATCCACCTGTATACTTTCAGTGTATACCCTTTTAGTGTATAGTGGGTAGAAGTGAGTTGCAGTGCTGCCCCTAACTAGAGATGACTAACAGAAGCCCAGAATCATGCAGGGACCTCTCCAGGGCACACATATATCCTAAGGACACTCTACTAAATTCTGCTAAGAAATGTGTACAGGTGTGGTGGAATTCGACTGATGGAAACAGGTAAGAGAAGGGGTCTTTTGGGGTAGCATCAGGGCCCAGGCTACTCTGCAGTAAAAATGGGTCTGTGTCCCCTGTAAGGAAACACTGTGGAATGCAGAAAGAAATCTACTCCTCTCCCAAAGGCTCACCACTCTTGCCAGGATCTTGTGCTTTTATTGGGGACAGAAACAATGCTAACAACTTAGAGAGGGTTCAGGGGACCATCTAGGCCTGAGAGATCTTGATTGTCTTTCACTCTTGAAGGACTCAAGCCACATGCCATTCAACTTACTAGCGTCCAAGAGGGATTGATATTCAGGCTCAAGGAAGAAGTGGAGAGCAAGGCCCAGGGCCCTAGTTGATGGAGAAGCTATTGTCCAAGTTCAGGCCCAAAGAACCTGACCCTGGTAACTTGGCTGCTGCTGTCCATAGGAATCTTGACGACTCACTGTAGGCTTAGTGGGCATCTCAACACTAGCAGCCACTGCTCAGAGATGGAGTGAGTGCTTTATATTCAGAGATATCACTGTGGGTGAGGTTTGATTGTTCCCATATATGCAGTAGGACTGCTAGCGTGTGTCAAACAGCATCTCTGACTTCCAGTTCAAAAAGTTGTCAGTGACAGAGGTGCTTGCTGGATGTACTCTACTCCAATCCAGGCTGGGCTTGGATTTCTATGGCCCCCATAGGATTATATATTGAATGTATTGCTGGTTGTTGTCTCATGTGGACCCATCTCTTGAGGTCCCATGACATCTGGTTTTGTTCTAGGTACTGCCATATCCTCACTTACACACATACACACACACACACACACACACAAACACACACACACATATGCACACATGCACACACATACTCATGTACACTTGCATACACACAGAAACAGACAGGTACACACACACACACACACACACACATCTACCTCCTGGAAGGTGCTGCCCAGTGTTTTATTTTATCTTTTTTTACACTCTTCTCATTAGTTGTTCACATTGCTACCAGTGTGAACCTCTGAGGCTTGCTTGCAGATTAACTGAACCTCCTTCTTCCTGAAGTCTAGGCTTCCTCTAGGGATAGTCTCGGTGAGCATTCAATTGCAGCTGGGTTGCATCTTTTAATTGTGTACTTACTCCTAGATGATGATTCAATTGGGGAAAAAGATACATAGGAACATCTCTTTGGGCATGACCGTTTCACTCCTGGTGACTCTGTAAATTCTTTTGAGTTTAGTGTTACCTAAACTATGATGTATCAACATGGTGGATTTTTTTTTTTTTAAATCACGGGTTGTGATACTGACTCTGGAATCTAAGGGCTTATGTCTTTTATCAAGCAAGCAAAGTGGCTACTATATCTACCGGAAACTGTGTGTGTACATATGCTTATGTGTGGAGGCCAGGGGACAACTTTGGGTATCATTCTCAGAAACACTGTCTCCTCTTTGGCGGTGGAGTCTCTTATTGGCCTATTGTTTATTAATTAAGCTAGACTGGCTGGTCATTGAACTCCAGGAATCCCACTATCTCTGCTTCCACATTGCTGGGATTGGAAACACAT